TAAGGCTGAAAATGTTTTGAATGAAAAATTACAAAAATTACGAATCTCGATAGATCCTTAAAAAAGGGATGAAATAATAAAATAAAATACACAACCGTAAAAAATATATCAAGAAAATATAAAGATCATTGTATAATAAGACTGGAAATGTGCAAAAAGAAAAAAAAAAAGAAAAGAAAAAAAATTTCAAAAGGTACGGAACCAGATAAATCTAAACGATGTGCCGATATAGAAGATAGGAGATAATAGATAATCGAGATAATAAAAGAGAAAGAAGAAAATCGAGGAGAGTATCTCTCCGTGTCATGGTAAAGATAGAAGGCGCCACCACCGTGGCGCAAGCTTTCGGAGGGTGGCAATACGAGTGGGTGGTTGATGGTGGTGGTGGTGGTGGTGGTGGTGGTGGAAATGGTGGAAATGGTAGAGAGGGTAGAGGGTGGTGGTGGTGGTGCCGGTGGAAAGCGGGAAAGCTTCGACGACTATTCACGAGCACCCACAGTTCATTCCGGTCGTGTTAGTTGTGTGGACGACATCATCATACTATCATCATTCGCGTATTAAAAGGATCTCATTTTTTTTTTCAAAATCACATAAACCAACGAACGAACGAACGAAACAAACAAATCTGATATCGGTGATATAACAATAATTATAACAATAATAATAATAATAATAATAATAATAATAATAATAATAATAATAATAATATAATGAGAGAAAATAATCGAATAATCGACAAAAGAATCAAAATAAAAATGCCTAAAACCTGATATAAATATTAAAACAATAAAATCGGTATGACGATCTGTGGTTCGTTCAATATGAAATATAAAAAAGTATTAGTATTATTATTATTATTATTAATCGATGATATTATTCATTCCACGTGGATCGATAAGATCATATTTTATCGTTTTAACGATAACAATAAATCTTGTTCGTTGATCAAAGAATACGACGAGAAAGAAGACTACGAAGACGAAAACGAAGACGATACTCGTCGTGGTGGTTGTGTTGCTGCTGCTGCTGCTGGTGGTGGTGGTGGTGGTGGTTTTGGTGGTGGTGGTAGTCGTGGTGGTTCCCGGATATCGGTCGAGGAAATTTCTTCGTTCGGTGCCGGTCGTTGATCTTCTTCCCCTCTTCCACCACCTCATTTTCTCTTTAAGGTACCACCAACCAACGAATCTCGTCGTCTCGGACGCGCGCGCGCGAGCATCGACCGATCCTTTCTCCTCCTACTATCTCTCTCTCTCTCTCTCTCTCTCTCTTTTTCTCATTTACTCTCTCTCTCTCTCTATATATTTTACTCTCTTTCTATTTCATATCTTCGTTTCATTTTTTCTATCGCGAATCGTTAGATCAGATCGGTTACGATCGGGGGTTGTTGTTGTTGATGATGGTGGTGGCTGCTTGTGATCCTTTTTTTTTTCGATAGGAAATTATTTAACGATATCAAACGTTAATCACAATTATTATTTGCAATAATAATAATAATTCTATTTAATTTTTTTTAGATTTTTTTGTTTTTGTTTGTTTCATTTGAAATAAATAAACCAACGAAAAATTAACAACGATCGGAACATAATCTCGATAATCGATCAAGTTTCATTAGATTCTTTTATCTTATTCTTACAATTAGCGCGTTTATTTGTTTTCTTTCTTTTTTTTATTCTTTTTTATACTGGCTTGACAATGGGTGTCGATAAAACGATGACAATTGAAATTAAATCTACGATGTTAAATTTCGAGTTTTAAACCGATTCGTTAAACGGACACCTCGTGTTCCTCGTGTGCGAACGACAGTGACGAACGAAAGAAGAGAAAAGAAGAGAAAAGAAGAGAGAAAGAGAGAGTGAGAAAAAGGGAGATCAAAGGGGGAAGGGAAGGGAAGGGTTGGGGGGAAGTACGATGCGGTTTAATGGTTCGTTAGCTAGGGAAATAATGTAAAAGGTGGACCTCCAATGCAAAACGTCGAACAGCTGATATTCCTGCAACCCCTCTAACACCCTCCTCCCCCCCCCTTCCCTCCTCTCCCTCTTCCTCACCACCAACCCTCGTTCGAGAGGGCAAATGACAAGGTACGAAAAATGTTACGCTCGGTGATAGTGACACGCGAATCGATTTAAATTCTTCAACGATAAACGTTTTTTTTGAACTAACGATGTTAAATATTTTTCTTACACGTCGATAAATTATCGCATCGATCGAAGATTTTATTTATTTCTATTTTTTTTTTGTTCGTAGAGTAAACATTTTTTTGTGATGTCCTTTTTAAAATGAAAGTTTCTTTTTACAAAATGTTGAACTAATGTATGTAAAATATTTACTCGCTTATATGAAACGTAAGAAAATAATAAGAAATAAATATGCATTTTCATATTTTTCAATTTGTAAATATATATATAATAAATTTTCAGAGTACACACACGCGTATATTATATTAAATAAATATGAAAAAATATATAGGAAAAATATATACATTAATGGATTTGTGAATTGAAAGTAACGTTTTTATATTTATTTTACTTTTATCGTTCGCGATTACCCAAGAAAGGTGCAATGTAAAATATATATATATGTATATATGGGTATATTCTATATGTTGTAATAGTCGTACGAGTAATCGATTTTCGATGAACCGATTGAAAGAGAAGTTCATTGCCGTAGAGCAATATTTTTTTGTTCCATCGTTCCAACATGGACGAAGGTAAAAAAGCATCGAGCGCAATTACAACCCTGACACCCTTTCTTCTTTTTTTTTTTATTTTTATTTTTATTTACTCAGGAAAATCGCGCATACATCCGACCTGTGTAACATATTCCCTTTTTTTTATTTTTTATTAACGACATTTTCAACGTTTACTTTAGCGTGTCAGTTTATTTAATAGCAATCTCAATGTTTCGTAAAGTTGTTCAAACAAAATTCATCTTAAATCAAAGTAAGATTTAAAATATATATACATATATATATATATGAATCTTGACATTTTCCAATTTCGATTTTTCATGGTACATATATACATATAAAACATTGTATTATACTGTATAATATTTGACTGTATTTATCTATAATAATGTATCGACAAAAAAAACATAAATTATTAAAATATATTAGGACTTTTAAATACTTTATATGAATATAGGATAATTCAAATATCGTCAAGCACATCATATACCATCAATAATATTTTTGTACATATCTATAAACAACAATATTGCTATAAACTTGTGAAAGTAACTTACATCAGTAACATATTCCTTTTTTTTTCTTTTTTATTTAATAGCAATATCAATGTTTCGTAAAGTTGTTCAAACAAAATTCATCTTAAATC